CCACCACACCCAGCTAATTTTTGTATTTTTAGTAGAGACAGGGTTTCACCATGTTGGCCAGGATGGTCTCAATCTCCTGACCTCGTGATCTGCCTGCCTCGGCCTCCCAGAGTGCTTGGGATTACAGGCGTGGGTGCCAGCCATTCAGGGAAATTCATGTTTGCAAGTGGCAGAAACCCAGCTCAAATTGGCTTACGTGAAAAGGAGAATTGTTGGGTCACATGATTGAAAAGTCCAGGTCTAGAGGAAGTTTCAGGCATGGCTGGACTCAGGGACTCAGTGCTACCACTGGGATGCAGTCTTCATCTCTCAGCTTGCTTGCTTTTCTTGCTCCCGGAGAGGGAGCTCCAGGGGTTCCAGGCTTGATGATACCTGGTGTACACAGGCTCTTTGCCAATGGGAAATATCCTGGGTAGCGCTCTTATGCCAGCTTGAGCCTTGTGCCCATCCTGTAGCCAAGGATGGTGGTTTCTCAGACTGGCCAAGCCAGCTTACATGCCCAACCCTGGGGCTGGGGGAAGGGAGATCCCCCACCCTCCCACCCACAAAAGGAGGATTGAGGTCTTGTTACCAGAGGAAGATCTGGGGCCAGCAGAAGCCATAGAATAGATAGATGATTAAGGCCCCTCTGGCTCTAACATGTGATGCTTCCGAGGCCAGCTGCTTGACAGGTCAGAGGCTGAGGACAGGCTCCCAGGAGAAAGAGGGAGGTGGTGCTGGAACTGGGCCTTAAAGGACACAGTAGTCTCAGGTGGCTGAGAGGGTGCTGGGGTGGAGAGGGCAAAGGCAGACAAACACTTGGGTGTGTTTGGGAACTGCCCAGAAGATCAGTTAGGCCAGACAGCGGGGGTGTGAAAATGGGTCTGTGAAAGTGAGTGTGGGCCAGACTGGGGCTTCCCAGGACCTGGGTCCTCCCCGCACATTTTCCAGCCTCATCCACACTGGCTCTGCTGGGGCATTTGCATCTCAGGAGGGGGTGTTGCTGGGGTCAGGGAGGCTGTGCTTCCTGGGTCTCTGATGCCTGTCTCCCCCCTCAGGCGTTCCTGGTCTATGCCGCGGGTGTTTACTCCAACATGGGCAACTACAAGTCCTTTGGTGACACCAAGTTTGTTCCCAACTTGCCCAAGGTAAGCCAAAGGAGGGCTGGGGAAGGTGGGGATGGGGGCTGGTGGGGTAGGGGTGGAGAATGCAGTAGAAGGAGCCCCAACTGGAGTGTCAGAAGCCCTGAGCAGAATATGGACCCTGTCGCTGCCACCCTGCATGACTGTGAGTGTCACCAACCTCACTGGGTGCCGCGGCCTCTTCGTGTATAAAGGAAAAGCACAGCTCTCCCTGACTGCTGATCTGCAGGCCGAACAAGGGCGAGATGTGGAAGTGTTCTGTGAACTTTCAGGTGCTCTCAAAAATGGAGCTTGTTGGTCATCACCAGGAACAGTGGGAAATACTGGGCTGGGGGCATCCCTCCCAGGATTATGAGGCTTGAGCCTATCTAGGGCAGAGGTGGTTCTTACAGCAGGTATAAGAGCTGGGACTTTAACATGCATACAAGTCACTTGGCGGTCATGCTGACATGCGGCATCTGATTCAGCAGGTCTGTGGTGGACCCAAGATTTGACATTTTTGCTTTGAGACAGGGTCTTGCTCTGTCACCCAAGCTGAAGTGCAGTGGTGTGATCATGACTCACTTCAGCATCAACCTCCTGGACTCAAGTGGTCCTCCTGGCTTAGCCTCCCAAGTAGTTGGGAATATGGGTGTGCAGCACCACACCAGCTAAATTTTCTTTTCTTTTCTTTTTTTGAGATAGGGTCTCACTCTGTCACTCAGGCTGGAGGGCAGTGGCACAGATACAGTTCACTGCAACCTCAACTTCCTAGGCTCAAGTGATCCTCCTCAGCTTCCAGAGTAGCTGGTACCACAGATGCCTGCCACTGTGACGCTTGGCTAATTTTTTAAAATTGTTTGTAGTGACAGAATGCCACTGTGTTACCCAAGCTGGTCTTGAACTCCTGGACTCAAGCAATTCTCACACCTTGGCCTCCCAAAATGCTAGGATTACAGGCATGAGCCACTGCGTCTGGCCTAATTTTTTTTATTCTTTGTAGAGATGGGGGTCTGTCTATGTTGCCCAGGCTTGTCTTGAACTCCTGGCCTCAAGTGTCTCTCCCTCCTCTGCCTCCCAAAGTGCTGGGATTATAGGCATGAGCCACCACACATGGAGGCTTGACATTTCTCAGGCCCTGCCAGTGCTGCTGGTCCACGGACCACACAATGAGCCAGAGCTCTTAGACCATGGGAGAAGAGCTTAGGAGTGGATAGGGAGGCTCTGGAAGGCAGGTTTGGGTGGTGTGACTGGGCCATTGGCTTCCCTTTCCCTGTAGGAAAAGCTGGAACAGGTGATCCTAGGGAGTGAGGCTGCTCAGCAGCACCCCGAAGAAGTCAGGGGCCTCTGGCAGACCTGTGGGGAGCTTATGTTCTCTCTGGAGCCAAGGCTTCGACACCTCGGACTGGGGAAGGAGGTGAGGCCCCTGACTCCCCCGAGGGGACGGGGCAGAGGGAATTCTTTGAGGCCACCTGGTAAGGAGGGAAGGAAAGGGGATGGGGAGGCAGTGGGCTCTGCCTCACACGCCTGAGGCAATGCTGCTCCCCACTGCAGGCCTCAGTTTTGTCATCTGTAGAATGGTAAGCAGGTTGGGTCAAATGCTTTCTGAATGCCCTCCCAGATCTGACATTCTGCACACAGGATGCCATGTGCTGAGGGAGGGAAGGAGAGGAAGGCTGGAGGTGGAGGGAGCTGAGGAGGGGACAGCAGGGAAGGAGGGGGGTCCCAGGTTTCCCACCTCTGGAGGCCGCATCCATTGCATGGGACGAGGACCTTGGGAAGCCTTAGGAGTGGGCCAGCCTGAGAGAGGCGTGGGCAGGGCTGCAGGAATGCTGGAAATGAGCGTCTGTTTGTTTTATAACTTTTTCCCCGGAAGTAGATGGAGGGGTAAGCGGTAGACGCTGCTGGAAGGAGGGAGGGGCAGGAAGCCTGGGAAGATGACGTCCCTGCAGCACTGACCTCAGCACCTCCTCTTTC